GGTGGAGCTGAGCTACTGGGCTATACTGTGTATAGGCTGCACCGGAATTGCAGGGTCACAAGTTTGATCCCTGCCCGAGGGTCTAGATACAGTAAGTTGCCTTTTTCGCAATTGGGTAATTCCATGGAAGTGATGCCACTTTTTGAAAAATAAAATTTGTCAAGAATTTAAAAATTTAATAATAAGTTATTTTGACAGTATACATATGCAGGGCTAATATGAAAGTCAATTTGGACAAAATATTGCTGTCAGATTCAAGGGCGGATACAGAGGAGGTACGACAAGCAATTAGCGAGTTGTCACGTGAGCTCTCGACCAATGAGATCGCTCTATTTTCCATCGTGTTATCTGCAGAATTTGGACAGAAAAATTTGCATTCGACGGAAAATAAATCGGAAAAAAATATTAATATTAAAATTTTCTTGCAAAATTTCAAGTGTAGTAGTACTACTGCTAAAGATCTGGTGATATCTGCAAAAATCTCTGAGGTAAACGTTATTTTCAATGTTATTTTGATGTTTGAAGTTAGTCGACTCCCCGCGACGTGTTGACTCAAGTCTAAATATGTTTACAATGTTTAAAATGAAATATCTAGAATTCCCATGGTTCGATTTTCTTCATTTTTGGTAGTCGTCAAGACAAAAGTATAAGCTTTAAATCTGCTGGAATGATCCCGGTGATCCCCCGGCAGTTTTCGAGATATTGACCGTTGAAGTGACTATTGTCAACTCGACGTTCGCTAAAATGGCGTCTAATACCTTGGAAAGAAAATGCGCCATCAAAGATGATATTTTCAATGAATTTTTGTTAAAGTGTTAAAATATTATTTAGAAGACTTAGGAGTTGTTTTAATATTTTTTTAGAATTTATATCTGTGCGATTTTCAAAGTTTTGTTGTCTTTGGCCGACGCGACTGGATCGTGTACGTATTTCAAGACGAGCTGATCGCCTGATACTGGGGTTTTTGTGGCAAATCGAGCTGCGGAATCCTCAGCATGGACAAATCAGTGTCATAACAGCCCATTTCAAGCCAGCAGAGAGCTTCACTTGTTTTAAAGCAATAAAATAAGTTTTTATGTATCATATAACAAATTAAGTGGCATGTTATTGTGGGATCTTTCCCTGCTGGCAGTGGTTTCTGAGCTGAAGTGGGATCTCTGATCAATTTAATAAATATTATATAAATAGACATCTTCTTGTTTTATTGTTGCATTAATTTTAATCTGAAAAAATACTCACAAAGTAGGTCAAGTGTATGAATAAATATTCATTTATTTACTAAAGTACATTTTTTACAGTTATTTATGTACTTAGTCTTATTTGCATGAGTGTACATGACAGATTGGTTTAATTAGATATACCCAGTTATCATTCATAACCTATGGTTTGTTTAAAAAATGCTGGAAAAACTAAAAAAGTTAGCCAATTGAAATAAATGCACTAATAACTTGCTAAACATAGCTTGGTAGTTGCTATTTATTATATAAAAAACATCTGTCAACATACACTCATGCTTTTTCCTACCACTCGAGTCTCCACTCACCAGGGGCCGGTTGTTCAAAGCTGGGTTAGTTTAACCCATGGTTAACCTAAAATTCGAAGCAAACTTCCTGACAGCTTTTCTATAAATTTGGAAATATTTCTTCAGAGATCTTGTCTGGATCGATAGGAGTTTACTTCTCTGAAGTTTTGAAATACACAGATCTATGTGTAGAAGTACACAAACTAAAACAGCAGGTTAAATTTTAACCCAGGGTTAGCGCTAACCCACCTTTGAACAACCGGCCCCAGGTGTCTTTATGAAAATTTTTGGATAAAATCCTATTTTTAATTAAAAAAGTCAACCCTATACTTGATACACTGAACATAGACATCCACGACATCTCCTGCAGCAATTAGTGGGTGCAAATACTTGCATAGTTCAGAAGCAATATAACCAACATGTGTCCATACAGTTCCATAGTCTAGATCAATAGGCAATTCCAGCTTTTAATTTATGCATGCAGGGGGTGACGGGAAGTAAGGTATCATATTGCTGATTATGCTGAAAAATTTTAATAAACTGCCTAAACAACCAAAATATTTCAATATTTACAATAGCTACCACTCCATGTTTACATGGCCACCATTTCTATTTTTTCAGCATTATCAGCAATATGATACCTTACTTCCCATCACCCCCTGCATGCATAACCTAAAAGCTGGAATTGACCATTGCACTTGGGTCCCTTGGATTCAATGGTGCTGGCCGTATTCTTACATTGAATTCACTGTTTTATCTTGTTCATGAAGAGCGAGGTATTATGCCTTAATTTTCCAAATGATGTCAGTAGTTTTTCTCATGAGCAGCACCGATGCACTTGAATGGTACAGAGTGGGCGATTTCTTCCTCCCCATCACTTTCGTCTTCATCACTTAACTTGTCATCACTTTCTGCCCTATCACCTTGATCACCTCTTTCATTATCATATACATCTTGAACAGGTTCAAGACCAGCCAACCACTCAAGTAAATCTCTTTCTACAAAATCATATAACAAGGAAATTATTATTTGATACATTGTCATCTCTAAAATTAGCAAAAATATACAAACAGCAATATTTAGATGAAAATTTAAAAAAATATTAAATTACAGTTTGCACATTTAAACAACCACCCACAACTAGATACAAACAGGCATTACACTCAGCAAAAATTTATAAAACCATACAAATAACTGAATAACAATATACCTTCAGACTCATCTGAGAACCAATGTTCATCATCTGAATGTTCATCATCAATTCTATTCGCTGTCAATATATGATCCACATCGAAATCCAAAATCAAAAGCATATGCTGGGTGTTTTCGTTAGCAAACTCATCAGGAGTAGGGTCAAACTAAAGGGTTAAATTATTAGAAATATTACGCCATAATTTGTACAGTGTATTTATAAAATTACAGTACAATATTGAAAACAGCAAAGCGGAAATTTGACCAAATAACAAGTCAACTGTATTAAATGCATTGTAATATACTAACCTTAAATACTGCGCTTGTTTTCACGTTGATGATACACAGATATTTAACGCCATCCAACTTAGAAAGAAGGGCCTCGCTATTGGGAATATAAACACAATTCCTTCGCTTTGACAGACGGATTATTTATAAAGCTAAAATGACATCACGTCCCATGCAATTTAATATAAGGTAAACTTGGTATAGTAAAACACAAGTCATAATTAGGATCGCAACAATACAGCAATAACATGCTATTTTCACGAAGTTTCGCAGCCTGACAATCTTGTATTTCGAATGCTTCCATATTTGTTTACTCAGAGAGATGTTCACTCTACGACAGTCAAAGAGTCATTGAAGCCACGCCTGGAATTAGGCACTCGAGCCCATGATGCTTTGCGGCCTGCTTGTCGAACCTCCTCTGGGGCGGATATTCATATATTTAAGAGGAGGGTTAGAAAAATTTCTGGTGGGGTGCAAGCGACACCACTCATTGAGCTTCAGCAGGGGTTAGGTTAGCCTGCTCACAGACGTTGTAGTTCTTACGCCAAGCGACGAAATACTACCGTCTGCTTACCCGAGCTGCATATTCAATTCCCTTTGTTTTAGGAGCCAATCATCTGGCAGTGTTCAAAAAAGTTAGAGCCAATTGGAAGCCGCCTTATTGAGAGATTAGCTACAGGGGAAACCCCTTGCACATGCATTGGAATATATTGTTTAGGTTGAAACTTGAAATTTGTTTACTTGCGTGGATATATTTTGGAAACTATAGCGTTGAATTTCACGATGTTTACGTAGAATAATATTGTGATCATCTTCTCGCATGTTCAGCAAACAATATGTATATAAAGTGCTAACGCAATGCAGTAGACGAAATTTAAATTTTTGTTAACAATGACAAACAATCAATCGGGAAACTCGAGTATATCAGGATATGTCCAAATGTTGCTCTTGATACTTCCTATATGCCATGACTTCAACGCAAACTTCTAAAAGATTAAGCTCTCATTGTCATGTAGAAAAGTATAGCCAAGTTAGAGTATAAACGTTTCGAAGTTTGGGCGAATTGGAAAATTCATCACGGCGCAATTTTAATACAAGTTTCTCGGGTTTGTGTTGTGTTTACAGTTTACACTCAGAAGTGGTTGCTCAAACAGCAAATTAGTTTACTTTGAAGCTAATATTTCGCTTTCTAAGCCACAGTATTATATAAAATTTTATGTCTTCCGAGTTCTGTTGTCTTTAATTTAATATAAAGATTAACCGTTAAAATTTCAGCGAAATATACTCGGCATTTGATGCTGTCTGGTTAAGATTCATACAGTATAAATATGCCAATCCTGTCCGCGTTTTAAATATAACCGAACATCTTTAATATCCAAATCCGACCATTAATGGTGCATTTTATTACCTGGACAAGTATCAGGTATCTTTAAATTCAATTTATGTGAAATTTTGACCAAAATTCAACCGACGACTGCTTTCAAAATATATATTTATATTTACAGGTGTATTCCGCTCCTAAATCAACTGACGTCACTTTCCAGAATATGGAAGGTAAATTCTGATTGGTCGACGTAGCGGAATTCAGTTTGGCGCTCGGGTAAGCAGACGGTAGTATTTTGTCGCTTGGCGTAAGAACTACAACGTCTGTGAGCAGGCTAGGGTTAGGTGTTTGGGTTAAAGCCTTTCACACAAAATAGGAGGGGTGAAGCAAAATTTTGGTGGGGTTGAACACCTTATTAGAGTGGTTAGAGAGATTCTAGGAGGGGTTTAACCACCCCAACCCCCACCCCCAAGCATATATCCGCCCATGGTCTGATTGCTGTTATGTTATGTCACTTTCATGCAGTTTTCAGACTTTTTAGCACATATTATCGCCGTTACGTTATATACAAATTTTACTTTCCTAGAGCACAACTTTATAATATATTTCATATAATTTGTTGTTGATTCAGGTTTAAAGTAAGATAATACAATTGAGTTGTCCCAGGTTTTAGTGTTCATGTTTCAGAAGCTATTGGACACAATTCTGAACCTATGGTTCCCAAAGAAATTCAAAAGTTGTTAGGTTGGTGTTACCTCATGTAACTTTGTCCCGGAGCCAACGGCGGAGAGCGCCATTCCGGGCACAAGCCCTGGGCGAGGGCACTAATTCCACCCGGCTATTTATACCCGGGGAAAGGAACACACTCGAAGCGAAGTCTAAGGTTCATCAAATATCGCGAACGCAGGGTTCATGGGTGTATGGGTGGTATCTCACTGATCTCAAAATATGGCTCTTTGCCAGGAGTGAAGAAGGGAAAAATATAATAAATACATGCAAGAAAGCTTGGAAAATCGTTTCACATATCAAATAGTAAAACTTTTTTTCAATTTTTAATAAGCAATTTATAATTCCCATAAGCCTTTTTTAATCTGCTAATACGGAGAGCTTTAAGTCCTGTAATGTAATTATCATCATTTGTTGTCTGAGCCGTTGGATTCACTGCGTTAATAAATACAGGCTGTCCAATAATAAGCCCATGGGCTTATATACGGGGGCTTACATTCGGGGCTAATAATCATAATGGCCTGAGCATTAGTGAATATGGTGGGCTTATACACAGGAGTGGGGAATCATATTGAGGGGGCTATACTTAGGGGTTTATGGAATCTGATCACTTTTTTGTTTTTAGTATAATCAGTCAGTCAACCAGAGTTAGGTACGATTCGTACTTGAATAAAGTATTTCTCTTCCTGGCAGCAAAATCCAAAAATAGAAATTTCCTGCTAGACTAATTAAAAATTTCCTGCGAGAATTTTTTATTATAACTAAGAGAACAAGCACTGATGTGAAAAATAAAATTATATACTTTTAAAAAGTAGCCACTGCACTCGACAGGCACATTAATGGCACTATGACTCTAACATCATTGAAATAACCTTTTTTTATTCTTGCTGTTCCGGAAAATTATTTAGTTGAAAATTTGTTTTTCCGAGTTTCGGTTATCACTGATCATGCAGTCGTCACTACTGTGATGCAGTCATCACTCATCAGTGTTCTGTAACTATGTACTTATCCGTGTTCTGTAACTATGCACTTATCCATATACTTCTATATACCGTATTGGTAGATTATAAATATAGATAGACACTGGTAACGGTATATTTTATAAATATCAAGGTTATATATTTATATAAATAAATCATAAATGAAGTCATGAAGATCATCAGTATGGCTTTGTAACAATCAGAAATAGTTCAGAATAATATCTTCTTTTCAGGCCTGAGTCTTCATTAGTTCAGTACTGTAGTTTATTCAATTCAATTCATTCCTTAGTGAGTTACTGCATGAACGGCAGTCTTGACTTCTCTTGCAGCATTCTGTTTACAACCTTAGAATTGTCAGATACACCCACTGTGGCAAATAGACTGATGTCATTTGATCTTCTTACAAAGCGAATGCCATGCTGCCCTTTGAAGTGCTGTTTCATAGCCGCCATCACAACTTTGTCACATTGGGCTTGTGAAGGACCATTAACGCTAACCATCATTTCGTTGTACGCGGTATCCTCATTCACATTTCTAAATTTATTGAAGTGAATCTCAAACTTTGATGTTAATGATTCAATCACTGATTCCACAGAAATTTTCACAGCGGACACACAAATAGAGTGGATAATCATCTCAATTCCCTTGTACAACTCTTTGTCGCTGCGCAAAAATAACTTAATAAGCTCTTTGCTGTCGAGATCATCATTCTTTTTGTTTCTGACAACTTTCTCCAGCCGTACCAGAAATTCCTCGAATTGAAGAATTATGGTCTCGTCCGGAACCTCTTTAACGGATGGGATTATTTTGCGTAGCGTCGTTATATACTTCGCTCTTTCGATATTCGAAATAAGGATGGCACCTCTCAACTTTATTCTAACTGCAGTGGTCTTCAAATCAGTAATCAGCCTCGTATCCTCGATCATTTCTTTGTCTGACTGAGAGAAGACTTGATCGCGTAAATCTTTCTCCAAGCGTGTGATGAGCAACAATACTTGCTTTGAAACATTATCTCGCACGTTTTCAGCTTTGTTTGCATTTGCTCGTCTGGCTAAAGACCTTGTTACATTTGGCCCCTCTTCGTCGTGGTCATCAACAATTGGTACACCCATGTATTCACCTGTATCATCCAATTGCTTTATATCATCATGATATACAGGCCAAGAGCAGGATTTCGCGTCACATTTTTCATGATTCATTCTTTCGGACATATTCTTCATCTTGTTGCAAACGTGGATAAAAGTGTCAAATATTTCATGAGGAAGAGAGTTGACTTTCTGGACCACATTTAACAATTCTCCATACTTCTCATAAATGTCAGTTATACCAGATAGTCTCAATACGAACTTGGCATTGCAA